ATGCGACCGGACACAGCAACTCATTTGTGGGAAAATTTGCATGAAAAGAGATTTTCAGTGGTTTCCCGGTACGAACTCCTTTGGTAAGCTCCGGAAGGTTAAACGATACCCCTTCTGGATGGAATCGCCTGAACCTTAAATCATGAGCAATTAATTCTGAGCCTCTTTCTGCTGAAGTAAGTGCTAGCAGCACAACTAGTTTCTTACTCAATTGTTTTAATGTTAGTTTGTCATTCGCACTGCAACTTTCAAAATACTTTGTGACTGCATTCACATCCCAAGTATTAATATACCTAGGCATAGGAGGACGAGAATTAAAAATCCCTTTCAACAATTGAACTATTACCGGGTGCTCGCCTACATTCCAACCTTGGATCTGTGGATGTGTAGCAGATATAGCTGACCGATAAACATTGAGTGTACGGTATTCTAGCCCTAATTCAAACTGAATAGCTATAAAGTTCACTATGGCCTCTAAAGGTGCTGAAAGTGGATTGACTTGTTGTTCACTACACCAGCCAGTCCACTTCCGCCAGGCAGAAGAGTAAGTCTTCTCTGTTCGGGCTCTCCATGCAGCCAAGAGAAGTCCTTGAGCTGCCTGTGAAATTGACGCACTTTGGAAATTTCTCCTGAGACAAGCCATGCGGCTAACTGCAGGTGAGCAAGAGGATGTAGTTTGTCTTCTTGTCTCAATAACCCTGGGAATGATGGTAGTAGCACTGGGGCTTCTATTATCATTCCCAGCAGTAGCGGATACCAGGACTGGGTCTCCCACACTGGTGTGACCATGGTTATTTGAGGAACTGACTGTTGTTGAATCTGCCTCAGACAACGCCCTATTAGGGCAAATGGAGGGAAAACATACCCTGCGAGTTGGCTCCAATCCAGTGTAAAGGCATCCACTGCCTCTGCCACTGGATCTGGTTTCCAACTCACAAATCTTGGCAATTGTGCTGTCAGTCTTGTTGCAAAAAGATCTACTGCAAATGGACCCCATTTGGAGTTGATTTTCTGAAACACAACTGGATCCAGTTGCCAATCGCTGGAATCTGGACCAGCTTGGGACTCGTAGTCGGCTATTGTGTTCAGTCTCCCTGGCAAATGGTTGCCTCGACCGTGATTGAGCGTTCGAGACACCATTGCCAAAGGTCGAAGGCGAGGCTGGATAGGACTAACGATGTTGAGCCACCCATTTTGTTTATGTAACTTATGGCTGACGTGTTGTCCATGTGCAACAAAACATGGATATTGCATTTGCTCTTTAGAAATGATTTGAGAGCGAACCCCCCTGCAAGGAGTTCCAGACAATTTATGTGTAACAGGCGCTCTGTTTGGGACCAAAGGCCCCTGGTTTGTGTTTACCCACAACGAGCTCCCCAACCTGTTGTTGATGCATCTGTCTCGATAATCAACGTTGGAGGCTCTCTCAACAGAGCCTTTCCATTCCAAGCAGCGAGGTGATCTCGCCACCATTTCAGCTCCTCGAGGGCTGCCGCTGACCAAATCACTGGAGCCTCGTAACTTCCCCGTTTTGCCAAGCTTTGTTTTTTGACAGCTTGGAAGTAACGATAATGCAATGGTGCTGGGAAAACTGCTTGAATTGAGGCACTTAACTTGCCTAATAACCTGGCTAATTCTCTCACCGTTATTGTTTGGTGGTCTAGGACTTTCTGACATTCGCGTTTGATGTTTTTTACTTTGTCTTTGGGAAGACTGATTTGAAATGTTACCGAATTTATTTGAAAGCCCAGGAATTCGAGAGATTGAACTGGATTCAGTTGGGATTTCTGGTAGTTTACCACAAAACCCAACAACTCTAGGAGTGCTACTGTAAGTGTCACATGATGTGACAGTGTTTCGGCTGTTGATGCCATCAATAATATATCGTCTAGATAAATTATTAATCGAATGCCCTGTTTTCTTAACAAACCAACTATTGGTTTTAGGATTTTTGTGAAAACGCGTGGGGCACTGGCCAATCCGAAAGGCAGGCACATTGTTTGAGATTGAAAATTGGCCGGTGCCCACCACCTTTCTTGGGGACCACAAACAGCGTGCTTAAAAAACCTGTGCTGTGTTGTTGTTTGATAGTTTATTTGACACTAACACTTACAGCTCCAGAATATAACTAATTCCACTGCTGAAATATGTTAGGTTTACAAGGATATTAAAACTAATTTTACATGTATTTGTTTAAAAAAACGAATAAGATATTTAGACTAAATACTTAAAAATACACATTCACATATATGTACTGTATGCGCAGACTTATAATTTGTTACTAAAACACTCACTAATGCTAATTTAGATTAGGTTAAAACCAGCATATTCGCAGTAAAAAACAGTTTCTAAGTTATTCAAAAAACTTATTAGAGTTATAAGTGATAAAACTGTTCCTAAATCTGTTCGTTTTATGAAGTGGCTCGTTAAATTTCCTATTTTTACGCAAAAAATGACTATTGTCATTATTTAATGGCGGTAACAAATCCGTTAATTTGTGCTCAGGATTATTGACTACGTCCTTAAAAAGTTTTGTTGTTAATTCCTGTTGTTAAACATATTGTATTGCTTGTTTTTCTATCAATTCTTCCACCTCTTTGTTTATGACCTCTTGGTCCTCTACTGACACCATCATTGCCGGAATAGTTTTCTGGAATGGCAGATTTGAAAAACAAATTTGGTACCCCGACACAGCCTGGAGTACCCAGGGGTCGTTTGTCACTAATTCCCAATTTTTTACAAAATATTTTAAACGACCTGCTAGTGGCAACTGGTTTGAGCTTACATGACGCAGCCCGAACTTTTCCCACAATGCATTTATTTGGGGGAAATGTGTTAAGTTTGTTTCGTTTTTTAATATACCTGTTATTTGACCACTTTGAGCAATCACTGCTGGCTTTGTTGTGACTGGGATGTTTGGAATTGAGGGTTTGGAAATCTGCCTCTCCCCCGGCCACGGGTTCGAAAGGAGTACCTCCCTCTGGCTTGGTAATTCCATCTGCCCCGTTCCTGGCCCCCACGCCATGGGCGGTAACTGGAGGGGGCCCCTCTGCGAAAAAACTGATTTGCTGGTTTCTTTGCAGTTGCTGCTGAAATAATCCGAGCTGTTTCATTCCTTTGTTTAGTCTTTTCTTCAAAGGATTCACCAAACAACATCTTGCCGGCATCTGGAAATGGCTCAGTGGCAAGTGAATTTAACTTTGGATTAAGTTTATCCAAAATTTGTTTTCTTCGCTGAACTGTTAACTGATTGTTAATACTTCCCAATAAACACAGGGCTTTTGTCAGGCATGCATAGAGGCCATTAATATTGTTCGAAGGTACAGTGATTGTCTCGGCACTGTCTTGGCTTGATTGCCATCCTGATACATGCTCAAAGACCATCGATAATGGCCCAACCACATCTAAAATTTGATCTTGGAGCCTTTTAGGCTCTTTGTCTACACCTTTCGCTCCAGCAATCAGTGAGCTCAAATAATTATCGAGAACTGGTGTGTATACTGCCTCGATATTTGGACGCGGGAATTCTTTAGTTATCTGCTTTCGTTCGTATGTAGAAAGCTTTTTGTCAGTGAATAAAACATTAAGAAGACTAGAAAGTTCTTCTGAAGCTTCCCAGCGTCCAGGACTATCTTCGTTTAGGTCACTAAATTCTGTGGATTCAGACAGGTTGGCCTTCTTTGCAGGAGGTTCAAATTCCTCCGCATTAATCTCTTGTACGTCCTCGTTCTCGTCTGAAACTTGTTCAGTTTGTTCATTTAAGCCTTGTGTTGACCCGGCGGCTAACCGGGAGTGCGACGGACGCTTTCGTAAGCCTTGTGTTGACCCGGCGGCTAACCGGGGAGTTTGTGCCAACATGTGTGCTCCTTCAGTACGAGGAGTTAACTTGCTGATTTCTTGAATCATACTCGGCAATATAGCCGAAAGTTGATCCTGTACAGCTTTCGAAATTTGTTCGATTGTATCACTGTTAAGATTACCTGGAGGTGTCTTCGGATTCGACTGGATTTCTGACATAACAACTTCGTCGTCGCAGCTTCCAGTGACTGTCGCCATTGTGAGCAAAGAAAAAAGGCAACGTGGACAAGGGGATGCCGGGGATATGAGCAGGGGCAACCTCGTTTTGAGTTAAAGTTAATATATTCTGTAAATTGCTATTGTGAGTGAAGTTAATAAAGGGCATTTACATTGTTATATCGAGGCGAGTATTATGAAGTACAATCGAAATTCGGCCCGCACAACTGTACGGTATTAGGCATAAGAGACCTTACGATTTTAGGACGGCGACGCGACGACGACGACCAAAGCAAACTCCTCCAAATAAATGGTAGTAAAGATAATTCGTCACATATTATCAATCGTATGAATTAAATACAGTCTTAGAAGTTGAAGACATGGGTTTTATGGTTGGGAAGAGTTCTGCTGAACCCAGTTTGAAGTTGCACTTGTTGCGGCTTGAAATGCAGCCCGTTGTATCAACACGTGAAAATCTGTGATTTGGCGTTGTAAACAGAGCGAAGGACATAGATAGAAAAAAACTTTATTTACCTACGCTAACCCTGTCAACCGAAGCTGATTTCCACAGGGGGCGTGCAAGAAAAGGAAGTACAAAAAATATATATTTTAAGCTATTTACAAAATATGATATCAACTAAGTCTAAGTAAAATAATCTAGAAGTATATTTACAGGTTTTTGTTAAAAGTTTCCTTTTCAGGATGTTGTATATGAATCAAAAAATGTGAGTAGCAATTTTATTTCGAAAACATGATAGGGATTTGCACTCCCTAATTTCGTTTGGAATAGAGTTCCAATTAACTATTTTTCATTTATTAGTTAGAGGTTGTACTAGACAAAGA